TTTTTATCTAATCAATTTCCTCAATCGGTTTCTTAATCCATTCGCTCTTAATTAAGTTTAATTTTTAGCGAAACTACCGAGATTAAATCGCGAGTTAAGAAAATCAAGTTTTACTCGTCGGCTAAAAATGGTGCAATCCTGAAAGGATTAAAAAACATATGTGCAGTTTAGACTCGCTTAGCTTATCTATTTATAGCGGTTTGTTCTATCTAGCTTATTCTACGCGTACGTCGCAGCGATATGTACCGATGGATCAGGTTGATGCTCCTTGTCCCCATCTCGAAATAACCGGACACGCCCTCGTTACGACGTTTTCGTACCTCGCTCATTAAAGCTGTAAACGAATCACACTGATTCGTTACCTATGCGCTTACCTTGCCACTCTATCCGACCGGTGGAAAGTTAATAGTCCGCTTAATAACGACACCGTTCGGTTCGAATCAGCGAGAACCGATACGTTTTTTCCATGGAGCAAAATCAAGCAAAACCCGCCCAACCAATCAGTGGCTGACGTGGAAAGAAAGATAATGATGATTTTCGTATCCACCAGAGTTTTAATTAATGGACAAGAGATAATAAAGAGGGACTCGAGGGAAATTGTGGTTCGAGAAGGGCTACGATTAAAATAGAAAACTGGGTCGACCCTGAAGCGCGATGAAAAGTTACCTGGACGCGAGTATCCAGCACGTATTCCCGTTATTTCTTGTCGAACCGTATTTCGGATATGGAACCGACATATTTCTCACGACCTTTAATTAGCAAATGCTCCCACGTTGCATCCAAGTGACTGCATTTTTATTATTTATTATTACGATACATAAGGTTGCATATGGACTGTATTCTTGCCACGTGTAACCAAATGCTCACGTCACATCCTATGAATTAATACTATAAACATTTGTTTAGCCATCCTATGAATTAATGCCATAAACATTTGTTTAGCCATCCTATGAATCAATACCATAAACATTTGTTTAGCCATCCTATGAATTAATGCCATAAACATTTGTTCGATCTTCGTGAGTATCGTTCGATCCCATCGTTCGAAGGAAAACGTATACTTCATTTTCATTTTCAGTCGCGATAAAAATAGCCATACGTTTGTAAATAAATATTGACAGCGTTTCGGGGATTCGTTGGTAGATTTTGAAAATAAAATGGCAAATCGCAACGAGTTTGCTGCTTTTCGAATTTATCGGCCGCACAATGGGCGCGACTCGCGCAACGAAACCTGTTGCGAGAATACAATGGGCAAGTAAATTTTCCTTCGACAATATAAAACAATAACTATTCTCTCTCGTTTTTTGTAGCCAGTCATTACAGTTCATTGACAACGCTGCCCGTGAATCGAGCTTTTCGATCGCCTCTTAAAAAACGCGGGAATGCCATTTCACAAACTTTCGTATAAGTAAAACAGATCGCCTTATGCATATGACTGTCAAGCGTGTACTTGTATACCGATTTTTCCCAAGCTTTTCCAAAAAGGTACAAGACCAGACGGTACAATCGTTGATCTTTTCATACACGCGTTTATCGCATACACGGACTGCACATGTTTCGTCCTTTTTTAACAACCTATTCAGGATAGAATGAAATATTCAGGATTATCCCAGGGTTTACCAGACATAATCAAGCGACAAATGCTATTTAGAGTTTGGTATTAAAAAGCTATAATAAAAGTACAAAGAGAACGTTGACAGACATACTATTACTTGCTAGAAGACTGTAAGACAGAGATAGTTAACAATGAACGTAACCTTTGGCTGACACAGTCTACTTTAAAATCTCTGTTTCGCTTATTACGTTTTTCTTTTGTGATATTCGGGCATTGTGGACATTGACTGATCGATAAAATCACTGGAAAATTCAAACAGCCGAAACGACCGACTGGCTCGATAAAACCGTAGACGCGACTCGTAGCAATTGTTACCGGACTACCAGTTTCATGTTTATTAATGCAGCCGCGTAAACGTGCATACGCGTGCACGAGCACAAACGCGGGAACAAGCGAAGGCGACATGTTTATTCGTACGAGGTCAAGATCATTGTCGTTCATTCGCGCGCAGCCTGGATTCCGTCACGTTTCGCCGCGGATCCTCCGTGAGCGACTTTTTCTGTCGCGAAATCCGTACACTGGCCACGTTTCCATATCGCAAAGCCTTTGCCCCAAAGAAAGCGTGTCCTCGACCGTTTATCGTGAATTTTCCCTCTGTCTTCCATTTGCAACGAATTTTCATTCGTAACGTTCAAACCGCAGAGCAAGAACCTGTCTGGACGAACCAGTTAATTACAATTTCCATAGTGGCTCTCAACTTTGTGCGATTGAAATTGTACCAACGAATAGCGATAGTTTGCATAGGTGTAGTGTTCTGTCCTTTCAACGACTGCAATTTGTACGTATTTTCTCTCCTCGCAACAACCGAATTACCATTTCTGGTACAGTCCTTAATCGACGTAATCCTTAACTTATGAGCCATGAGTCATCATGCCCAACGTGTCTTTCATAATCTGAATTTTACCATCCCCACTGCCAATCTTTCCAAAATCGTTAAAACGTCTGGCATTTCTCGTCAGATAGATTCTCTTAGTTGCGAGCCTCAAACCGCGTCAAACACTGTAGCGAGTGCAGCAACGAGTTGGCAAAAAATCATCAAACGTCTGTTGGAATTTTTACTTTCGCGTAACCTATGCTTTACACAGGCAGCCAATGCTTATCGAGTTCCCCATTCCGAATCCGAATAATTTTCCATTGCCAGGATATTTATAAATACAACATAGGTTTGAGAACGTTTGATCCAGTGTATATTCTAATTTCGTCTAAGATTCTTTAAACGTGAGTGGATTAGTCACTACCCAGGCTCCAAGACGAACATACCAATATTCTTTAGAATATTTCTCGAAAAATTCCGTTTGTGGGGATCGTTAATGCGCAAATACCAGCACGGACTGCGCGCAAATGACGCCCTGTTACGCAATCGACATTGCTGACAATCATCGTATTACCTGCAAAGCGCGATCGTCCGTAGTTTCGCGCGATTCTCGCTTGGCGAAGCTCGTTCGCCGAACCCATCCTCCCTAGTTCTGCAATCATTCTCTAAATATCAAATTTACATTTGTAAAGTTACATTTTGTTCGAGCGATTTTTCTCGTCGAAGTAATTTTCGTTAACGTCAACGGCG